GTTGTATTTAACACGCAAATTGTTAGTGTTAGGTATCGCCACATCAATAAGTGTTGTTTGCCTAGTAATTTTATTCACTAGTATGAGATCCGGTCTATTATGGGCCACTGGTTGGTCTGTGAGCACAGTGCGGTCCCAGTATAGCTTGTAGTTGTCATTTTCAAGCATTCTGTCAGAGACATATTGATAATAAGGAAGACGGTCGGTTTGGAGAAGTCCCAGTTTGTCAGCTAGTTCTTGGTGGATAATCTTTCCTACTGAGTCATGGCGTTCTTTATAATCGGTACCCACAAATGCCTGGCAGCCACCGGTAAGATGTTGGATGGTTTCTTGGGTTTGGCATTCATATCGCCATTTGTCATTTTGGACTTGAGGATCTTTAACAATATATTTTAGGTAATTTTTAGTTGGAATTACCTGATCCTGAATGGCAAGTAGGGAACCCTCAGTTTCGGGAAACATCTTTCCTGATGTCAACCAATAGTTCGACGATGTATTGTCGACATATTCTTGGCTGATCTCATTGAGATGTCGCCCATGCAGAGGTTTACTCATCCAGGTGCGCATTTTTTCTTGCTTAGTCAGATGGTTTATGCGCATTTCTTGTTCCCTCAGTTTAAGCGGCGTTGTGTCATCTACTGCGCAAATTGCTCGATGTAAAGTAGATGTCTCGGCCTGTACCTGAAAATAAGTTCTTAAATTAGCAATTTGTTTATCTAATTGCTCACCTATATCCATAAGTCCTCTTCCTCCTTGATACCGCGGCAATGTTGTTCTCTCTACTGCACTGCGTGGATGATGTTTTTGCGATTTTGTGAGATGTGTTCTTACTTTCCGCTGAAGACCCTCGATATCCGTTTTTGACCACTTTATAATACCAAATGAGTAGCTCAGCGCGGAACAGGCGTACGTATTTAATGCCTTAAACAAATTTTTACTATTAAGATATGACCGATTTAGTTGTCTTACTCTTCGCACGAACTCCGAAGTTAGTTCAGTTTTCATCTGTTTATGGTCAAATTTCCGCGCCTGTTTTACCCCGAGATATCCGAGACATTGCCTCAATGTTTTGGCCATCTTGCATATCGAAACCTCCGGGCTGAAGCTATCATTTGAGAAAGTTTCTACAGTTTTTAGCATCTGATCTAGGTGGTTTCGAGTGGAAGCCATTAACTTCAAATCATCCATATATAACAGATGATTAAGCTTCGCCACAACAGTGTTGTTATTTTTTATGCTAAATCCTGAGTCAGTGGAGTTCAGCAGCTGAGATAGTGGGTTCATCGCTAGGCAGAACCAAAGTCTACTCAACGAGTCCCCCTGGAAAAGGCCCCGGTTAATAGCGATATCTTCAGTTTCGATATTGGTTTCACCAGGTATTTGAAGGTGAATTTTAGTCTTCCACTTCGTCATTATATGCTTCAAAAAGGTCACGAGATTATCATCGACTTTATATATTTTCAATATATCTATAAGCCATTCATGCGGCACTGAGTCAAAAGTCTTCTTGTAGTCAATGAAGGCAGTAAAAAGGTTTCTTTTTTTGGTGTATGCCTGGTTAGAAATGACTGAGTCGATAATAAGTTGTTCTTTGCAGTCCATGGAGCCCTTAGCGCATCCTTTCTGTTGGGGCTCTATGATATTGTTCAGAGCACAGTGTTGGTAGATACGCCGGACCACACAGGATGTGACCAATTTGTACAAAGTTGGAAGACAAGTAATTAGGCGGTACTTGGCTGGATCTTGGGTGTTATTTTGATCCTTCGGTATTAGATAAGTGGTTCCCTGAGTAAGAAATGATGTTATTTCCTGTGAATTAGAAATAATATTATTAATAAATACTGTTAAAAGCTCATGAACGCTCCAAAACTTCTTTAACCAGAATTTTTGAACTCCGTCTGGTCCAGGAGATTTCCAGTTATAAAGATCTTTGATGATGTTCAAAACTTCTTCAGTGGTGAAAGGTTCATATTCCTGTAGTGTTGACAATTGTTCGCCGTGTCTTCAATCCATCCAGCATTGTGGACCTGAACTTTGATGCAGATATACATTAGTACCACTGGATCTTCCTTAAATGGTGGTTGTCTCCAGAGTATGACGTCGGGGGGTTCATGACACATAGGGCTGTCGTCTCCGGTTTAACCGTGGGATACTGCGTTCATACATTCAACATGGTTTCAATTGATCCTTCCTTTGGTATGGTCCATGTACAGTATCAAAGTCTGCAAATACCCGATTAATTTAAATTAAATTTTCACCTCATTGTTTAGTCTAATTAATACTAAAATTAATTGGATAATATGCATTTGTATTCCTCTGAGTGTTTACCTCACAAACTGTATATATTATAATTATTAAGTTTTTATTATAAACTTTATGCTCTAGACCAGTTTAGTAGTTACTTTAGGACAGTACCTTATTTAATTTCAGTTTAATGAATACTAAAATTCATTGATCAGATCATCATCAGATTAACATCTGAAAATGATTTTGTTATGATAATTTTTTTTAAATATAACAAATTTTAGTCATAAGGAATACTATAATTCGTTGGGAAGTATTCAATTTCCCTGAGTACTCTAAATTTTTTATGATCAATATTTTGTTATTATATTCATTAACTTGATTGCTTTATTATAAGTATTTTTGATTTGTTCCTACAGACTACTACTGCATGTACTTATTCCTAGGTAGAACTATGTGTTCTTGTTTTCTTTGAGAAAAATGTCTCAGTTGTGTTCGAAATTTTTTTGATTGGTGGTAGGAGTGTAACGTTATAAACGTCACATCTTTGTTAATTTATATTTAAATAATTATTTTATTTTTTTTTTCATTATTAATTTATTAATTCCTTAACCTTCAGTTTTTTTTTTACTATTTTTTATTTATAATATTTAATCATTAAACAGTTCACACTAATCTATGTATGAGAATTAATGAAAGTACATGCAATGTGAGTTGCATACGTATAATACAAATAATGTAATTGATTCATAGAATCTCCTACAAATTACAGTTCCAAGTGGATGAACCTTGGACTGGGGAAATTATTTTTCGTTCATCACCTGTGGCTGAATATCCAGCTATAACATTGACGATATAAATTTATATATGAGGTTGAATGAATTTCGCCTGTTTGTTCGTTCTAGACTGGTTGATGCGAGGAATTGCTGTTATCATTACCAATTTCTTTCATTGTTTGGTCTCTTACAAGCGGGTTGTCATCCAAACTCATTTGAACTTTTTAAATACACCGCCCTATTATTTGGGTTGGTACTTCAACCTTGCTGTTATGTCAAAATTTTGTGACCTTAAGGTTGGCTGTCTTTTCACGGTTTTGGATCGATCTGTTTAAATTAACGCCATTTTACAGGCGGCAGTTGTGAGGCTTTGAGTGGTAACTTCATTTTACAGTATATTTTTTTTTTAAATTTTAATATAAATCACTTTAATAATGCTACCTAAAGTCAAAATCAAACCATAAATAATTCTCATATAGTTGGAAGTGAATCTATGATATATTTAGTTCTTTTTCACTACTTAATATTAAAATAAAATATTACATATACATTAGACCACATGTTCTGTTGCTGTGCTAATTTTTTAATAAGTTGCTAACTGTTGTTAGTTAATTGATTGTTTATACAATATTTCCGCATAATGTCCATTTACTTGAGTTTTCTCACATATTCGATAATATCATTGACTGCTACATGTCTTTTTAAGGTAACACTTATAACATCTTTTCCATGATTGTGTGGTTCTCATATTGTGCTTTTTAGATGAACTGATGATGCTTTCAAAATACGAAAGCGAAACGTCTTCAAAATAGATAAAGTAGCCTATCAACTTTGTCTTTTATTTCTCCACCTTGAGACCGATATAAGAACCCACCACTCATCTGAGTGATCCTTATAATATATTGGATTGACGGTCGTACTCCTTGTCCGATATATATATATATATATATATATATATATATATATATATATATATATATATATATATATATATATATATATATATATATATATATATATATTGGATTGGATTGGAAATTTCTGCGGGAGCTATATGTGATTTCAGTTGTTTTTCGGGTTTGACTCCGCGTTAAGTAATTTTGGTTTTTAAAAAAACCATTGTTTTGACGACGTTTCGGCAAGGTCACACTTGCCATTGTCAAGTCAGATTAGTTCTGCTTCGTCTTGATGTTTCAGGAGAACTGATTTCTCGGTCGCTGCTCGCTAAGTTTAAATACCTTGAAGCGCTTCTTGTGATTGGTCCTGTGCGCAGAGTGAGCGGGGTCTTCTTCGCTATTTTAATTTCTACGTTTTTCTGTAGAATTGGTTTCCACGTATTTGGGAGTCTTTGGGCATCGTCTCTGGTATTTAAATTTTTTGGATGTTTTTCGATCTCTATGGCTTCCCTGATTACACGTTTGGCCTTATTTTCGATATTGGCTAGCATTGTTGTTAAATTTAAGTCGATTTTGTGTCCTGTGTTGATGGCATGTTGTGCTAGAGATGAAGTTTTCTGTTTTCTTTCGATGGTGTTTCGATGTTCTTCGCGTCTAACTTGTATCCTTCGATTTGTCTGTCCGATGTACGATTTATCGCAGTCCTCACACGGGATTCTGTATACACCTTGATTTTCCAATGCAACTTTGTTTTTGCCGATGGTAATATGGTTGCGATTTCTTTGTCGGTGTTAAAAATAGTTTCGGTGTTGTTTTTACGTAGCACTCTGCTGATTTTGTCTGTCGTACCCTTTATATAGGGCAGGATAGTTTTTCCGACTGGTTTTTCCTCTTCTTTTGGATCTTTATATATATATATATATATATATATATATATATATATATATATATATATAATATATATATATATATACATATAATACATATATATATATATATATATAGTATATATATATATATATATACATATATATACATTAATTCTTAACCAACTAAATATTTGTAGTTTTATCCTTTTTTTCAGGTCATAAATATATCTGCCATAGATCTAAATAATGAAATCATAAAACAAGGAGATATTGTTCGCAAATTAAAGGAGCAAAAAGCAGCGAAAGTTGATATTGAAAGGGCTGTAAAAGTATTATTGACATTAAAAGCAGATTATAAAGGTGTCGCTAATACTGATTGGAAACCTGGTTGTTTACCTCCTACAGTTTCAGTTTCTAAGACTGATACTAGTGGTGAAGAGATCGGAGCGAAAATCACAGCCCAAGGTGATAAGGTTAGTTTTTTGAAATTTGTATATTTTATTAGAATTGGAGTTATGATCTAGATTTAATAATATACAATTAATAATAAATAAGTATGAATACCAACAGCAGATACCAAATGAGCCATTGAATCCGCAAAAAGATTTAAATTTTTTACTTATGGATGATAATAAAGTAATTTTTTTATATAAGTTAGTTTATATTTCAGGTGCGACAGCTAAAGACACAAAAAGCTGATAAAGCAGTAGTAGACACTGAAGTGAAAGTATTGTTATCATTAAAATCTGAGTACAAGTCTGCTACTGGGAAAGATTGGAATCCAAATCAGACATCTTCTATTTTCAAAATTAAACAAGAAAGCATATCCTTAGAAGAATATTCAATTCTCCAGCAAATAGCCGTACAAGGTGATAAAGTTAAATGTCTAAAATCTAAAAAAGCTGACAAATTAACTATTGATGACGAAGTCAAAACGCTGTTATCTCTAAAAGCTGATTATAAGGCATTAACTGGTAACGATTGGAAGCCTGGAACACTTCCCGCACCACAATCCCCAAGTACCCCAACATCTTCCTCTTCAATGGGAGTAGATGAAAAGAGTCTACTTTTAGACATTTCTTCACAGGGAGACGTTGTAAGAGAACTTAAATCAGGTATGTTTTCTGAATTAAATATTTTCTATACTGCATTTCAAACGTTAAATTCAGTGTGGTTTTTAATTGTATAGTACTACCATATTTCTAAGAGACTTATTAATATTCAGGTCAGATGGGTGCTTTTGCTCGTGGTGTAAAATTCCATAAACCTGTTTTATGAAATGCTCCGTTGTTTATATAATTTTACACTTCGAACAATGGCACCCCGCTGAGCTGAATATAAATATCTCTTAGAAATATGGTATTACTATAAGTGGGTTTGCCATATTTGGCCCATTCTGTAATATATCATAAATAAATCCCCCTTTTGTATTCAACAGCAGTTAACATAATTTCATGTGCTTCTTTTTCTCAGCGGTCATCGAACAAATAATAATTTTCTGAAGGTACTGAATAATTATTTTTTCTTTAAATTTACTCGTAAACGGTCAACAAAAAAATACGTTAATAAAAAACATTTAGTGTTTAAGTTTCAAACGATTTTATGTCAGGCCATTTTAAAAACAATAATTCAAGATGTGAAAATCTTAACCATACAAAAACCTCTTTTCAATTTAAATTTTTATTAAACCTCTTGTGGGGTTGAATTATTGTTTTAAAAATTGACTAATAAAATAGCCAAAACGTCAACACTATAAATGTTTTTTTTTTGTTTATACGTAGCTAATACAGTGATGAGTGTCTTACCACCCGGCTTTTTAACGTAAGAGATAGAAAACACAGTTACCTTCTGAAATAAAAAGAGATGAAACTCGTAGAGGTGGGAAATAATCGATAGAAACCTATAATTTACATTACATTACCACTAACGATAGTATCACACCTTTAGAAGTTAGCTTCGAGCTTGTTTAAAGTTGTTTAAAACCCGGCAAAATAGCGGAAAAGATAGAAGACGGATTAAGTTGTAAATAGTACGAGATAAAGCTAGTTCTTAGACGTGGCTATTTGACTTCAGTCATAATTATACGGATGACCTCGAAAATATTTTATTTTAATAATTTCTGATGTTAGAATAAATTATTGAATAAATTAAGATATATTATAGTAAAAAACATTAATTAGTAGCGATTTTAAATTATTAAGTTTATTTATTATTGTATGTGGAATTGGTGTAATAGTTAGAGACGTGGTCTATTGACAAGAAGATTGGGGTTCAATTCACACCAAGGATAAAATTTTTGTTTTACTCAATCAAAAATAATAGAAAATATGATACATATTAGGTAACAAGTTTTCGAAAAACTCATTATTGACCATTTATTCTTATTCCAATGTTATAAAACGTAAATACAAAATAACTCAAATTCTATTCCAGTTTTAAAGTCTTTAGTTGTAAATGCAAAATAATCCGGTGAAGACTGTTTATGTCAAATCCATCACTAAATTCTCAGTGTTAATATCAATTCCTCTGTACAGGTAATTATTTTTCAAAACAATCGACAACATTGGAGTGGATGCGCGCGAACAGCTGCCTGCTTTACAGCTAACCAAATCTTCAAGTCATCAAATAATAACATATCGAGAAGTGTTTTTGCACGGTAAACAGAAACTTCTTATTGAAAAAACAATTCGTGAAAATGGTTTTAACGGTCGAGGAAAAAGTGCAAATTGTTGTCTGGCATGTGAATGGATTATCAGACAACATGATTAGACAACAATTTGTAAATATGTTTCCAAATAGGCCGGCTCCAGCACAATCAACAATTCAGTCTATTATACGTATTTTTTTACTTATGGATCTGTACATTTTTTAGAGAACGTTTTGTTCACCGATGAATGTACGTTTTCATTGCATGGCCGTCACAATTCAATGAATGCTCGGTATTGGTCTCGAGGAAATCCTCGTCAGCGTCCTCGAAAAGTAAATGTTTGGGGAGGCATAATAGGGAATCATGTCATTGGTCCATTTTTTATAGATAGTATGTTGACTGGGCGGAAATACTTGGAACTTCTACAAAATAAAATCGTCCCAGCCCTTTGTAATTTACCAATACCTTTCGGTTCCATATGGTTTCAACACGATGGGTGTCCTGCACATAATTCTCATATGGGTGTCCTGCACATAATTCTCACATCGTCAGGGAATATCTCAGTGCGACTTTTCCTAATCGATTGATTAGTGGCCACGAAGATAATTTTTGGCCTGCAAGATCACCTGATCTTGTACCTTGTGATTTTTTATGTGGGGGAAATATCAAGTCCAAACTATATGGAATTGAAGAGGAATAGCCTAATTTTTTTCAAGAATTAAGAGAAAAGATCTCTGATTCAATGAGAGGTATTAGTCCAGAAACATTAACTAATGTTAAACGAAACTTTTATAATAGATTGGGTTATTGTTCTACTGCTAATGGAGGCTTATTCGAACATTTTTTGTAAATACAGTTCATTAGAATAAAATACGTTCATTTAGAATATTTTTATAGAATTTGTAGTAGTCACAACTGCTAACATATAATTAATTAATATAATTAATTATTAAAATCCTAAATATACTCAGAATCCCGTTTATGAAACGTTTATGGGCAATAGACAATACTATGCGCAAGTGTAACTAAAGTGGTAAAGAGGCGATCGGTTTAAGTCAGTATTGGCCAACAACTCAAACAGAGAGGTTTATTTCTCCAAGGCGTACCGGCATTTTTGCGTCTTAAAATCGGGTAGAAAATCTGGAATTGGATTTAATATTTTCCCCGAACATCAAGGGAGGAATTGGAACAACAAAATATGTTGATTGTAACAGAATTGAAAAATAATCTTGATTGAAAAACCCGGCTTCCAAATCTGCCGAAATGAATATTTAAAACCCAGATTTCACCCGATTAGGATAACCTTAATATTAGGATTAGTTTAACCAAACACCTAAAACCCATTGGTAACCAGGAAACGATTGTCTCCAGAACACAGCGTTCTCCATTCGCTTTTTCGGAGCCCAAGGACCGCCAGAGTCTTAAGGGGACTTAACCAGGACAGCTGTGGTGTTGTGACAGACATTAACATCAAGTTTCATAGGGTTAAGGTTTTTTTTCTTGTAATTTACAACTTTGTATATGCATATACCAAGGTTAGTACTTATTACAGTTTGTATATCACCTATAAGAAGTTAGGTAAATGGTTATAAACTAATTAAATTAGATTCATTGTTAGGGAAGGGGTTCATGATTTTGTATAGCGGTTTTTTTTTAAAAGGAAAGTGAAGAAATTTATGTATCAGGGTTTTTAAAATTATATATATATAATATATATATATATATATATATATATATATATATATATATATATATATAATAAGAACTAGAAGTATTTGCTGACCAGAAGGAAGTAAATTTTCAATATTGGGTTTGCAGCAATAAAAATGATACGTGTACTCGTTTAAATTTTTATTCCGAGCTTTCGGACATGGTTATGTCCTTCATCAGGGAGCTACAAATGTGATGAATAGTTTGTTACAAGTTTGTATAATTAATTAAAGATTCGCTACTTACAAACTTAATGAGGTTGGATCATCAATGATTTTCTACCATGTCGATAAAACTTATCACAGTCTGTCATATTTTTACATAAAACTTATTCCTATATTTAAAATTTTTAAAAATTGCTTTACAATCACAAACACTTACTTATTATACACACATTTCTGACATTTTTATTCTTAATTTTATTATATCGTCATTAGTTTTTTCTCAAGACAATTCAGTGGTTTTTATTATTAGATACTAGTACCAAATTATAGGCCTATCATTAGATGTATTGAGTGTTAACAGTTAACAAATGCATACAATTATGAGAATGAATACTATATTAAAGACTCATTTCAAGTTAATAAATTATTTAATAACACACAATTACCGGAAGGTTACGTTATTGCGAGCCTAGATGTAGTATCCTTATTTAGCAATGTTTATCTTAATATATGTATACTTGCCATTAGTAATAAATGGGAGATTATTGCTCAATATTGTAACATTGATAAAGAAACTTTTTTCAAACTGTTAACCTTTCTGTTCGAAAATAATTATTTTTCATTTAACAAAAAATTTTACAAACAAACTTTTGGTACACCTATGGGGAACCCTATATCACCAATAATTTCCTGTTATGTAATGGACCACATACTAGACACCATCATCCTTGTCCTACCTTATAAATTTCATTTTATAAAAAAATATGTAGATGATATAATATTAGCATTACCAAGCACGGGGATAAATGATATACTTTGGTATTTCAATAGTTACAACCCCTACATTCAATTCACATTAGAACGTGAAGATGCTACAGGTTCAGTACCTTTTTTAGATACCAAGTTAATACGAAAAGGTACCCATTTGCTAGTTGATTGGTATAGAAAACCTCTCAGTTCAGGAAGATATCTCAATTATTGGTCATACCGTAAATATTCAATGAAACTTAATTTAGTTAAAGAAATGAAAAATCGGGTCCTTAAAATCAGTGATACCGCTTTCCATACCAAAAATCTAAAAATCCTGTATAACCTATTCATTGAAAACTCATACCCAAGTATACTACTGAAGAAAATTTTGTTTAACACTCCACAAACTTTAACTAGTCATTTAAGAAACGAGGAAAATATGTCTTTATCACACGATAGAATTGGACCTGTAGATCCTTTACAAAAACAAACGACAATAAAATATGTATCCCTTCCATACATTAAGGACATTGGGCATAAACTTAGTAGAATTTTTTCATCACTTAATAATATCAAAATTGCATATAAAACGGTACTAACAGTTAACAAAGTTTTTTCTAAACTTAAAGACCAATCCCCACTCTTGTCGTTAACGGATGTTGTTTATTGTATACCGTGCGGATCATGTGAACAAGTATACTACGGTCAAACATCAAGATGCCTTAAAGACCGCATTATATCGCACAAGTCTGACAATAGATTACATCCAGAAAGAAGTGCATTGGGTGAACATGCATTTAAAAATGGGCATCGGATAGATTACAATAACATCAAAGTAGTAGAA